GTGTAAAATGGCCATTATGGAAAGTGGGTTTGCAGATTGGAAGAGCTGTGTTTAGTGCCAGTGACCATGCAGCATTCTGTCCCTTGCCTGGGGCCTTTTGTCCCTTTCAGGTCATGTCCTGTTATGGCAAGAATGATTCTGTGTGTTTATAAGCATTTTATTTGGATGAAGCATCAAACAGGAAAAAAACAATTCCTGCCGGGAGCTTGTCATACCATTGTGGTTACCCTACTGCTTGTCAGAGACCACAGGGCTCTGACCTGGGAGGATGGTGCCTTATCCCAGTTTAGGTTGGCTGGTTCTGTGTGAAGCTTTGCTCTCTGTTAACAATGTAAATCCTTTTTCATCTCTAACTTCTGCCAGTGAAGGGCCTGTGCCATAATGTCTTCTGCTCAGGTAGGCTTTCCCTCTGCTGTGGCGGATCCGAGTGCTTGGCAGGGGCTGAAGGGGCCTTTCTTCTCAGGGAAGAAATGGGTGTGGAAGTTGCTCTGGCTTTCGTGTCCCTGGCAGCTGTGTTATTGTTGGATGCCCTCTTTGCGGGTGGCTGGTGCTAATCAGGCTGCTTTGCCTGAGCCTCAGCACTCCAGGAGAAATCACAGTGGGGCAGAGCAGGAGCAAGAGAGGTGACATTTCTGGTACTGGGCCAGGCGGGGCAGTGCTGGGGACAGGCCTTGCTCACCCTTCTCACTTGCTCTCTAGTGTTGCCTTCCAACCATGAGCTCTTCAGTGTGAGAAGTTCGTGCTGGTTAGCGCCCAACCTCACTGCAGGGCTGCGGTCCTGGTGCTGTGCTGGGTGGCTTTGGGCTCTGCATGGGTGAGGGCTTCGCCCCTTTCAGACATCCTGTGGTCTGTGGAAGGGAAATCTTTGTGCTTTAGTCAGAGCTCCCTTTTTGGTCCGGTTTTACAAAGGCAATCGTAGGGCAGATTGCACTGAACCTAAGTATGTGAGCAATAACTGTGAGCCATAATTGAAGTTGTATGAACCTTAGAATTCCTGTTCCTGACTTCCAGATGCAGGTCTGTGCTTACCCTGCCCCAGGAATGCTTCTCCTTTTTTTAATGTGGTTCCTTTTGCTTTTGCTCTTGGGGACTTGTTAAATTCCTGTTCCCAAATACAGTGCTGAAGCTCTTGAGAGAAATGAGAACTAGTTAAGAAAACCTAAGAGTAAGGGAATAGAGGTTGGCTTGTGGCTTCTGCACGGTCTGTCCTTGGTTTTCTGGGTTGCTTCTTCTCAAAATACATGACTGTGTCATGTCTAAGCACAAGTGGGCCACTGTTGTTACTTTTAAGTAAGACTATGGCAGAGAAACATCCAATTATTTATTCCCTTCAGTTTAGTCGTAGGCTAATTAATTGCCTTCTGCTTTCTCCTTTGAGAAGTGCCTTGGTACATAGAGAATTCTAATGGCATCCTTCAAGGTTATGGAATTCTCTTGATGAACTTCAGAAGGATTTTCTAGAAACTTATGGTCTTTGCTGAGACAGAGGCAGAGCCTGCTTGAGCCCAGGCACAGTGTCCTGGACACTGGTCACTGCCAGCCTGGCTGTTTCAGCAACTTACTGTCAAGGAGCCTGTATGATTCCTGAGGGTATCACCGCTAGGGTAGAGGGCAGAGTTGCTTCTGTGATATGACTGGGACTTGGCTGTTTGGGATTGTTTGTCCAGTGTCAGACATGAATCATGGACTTGTGCCTGGCTTTCCCAGTCCTAAGTTAGCAGTAGGTTGTCCTGCACTCTGCAGACGGCCTTGGTACAGGCTGTGAGAACAAGTGATGGTGTCCGAGGCAGCAATGTGAGCACATTTGAGCATTCAGTATTTAGACATGACTGAAGTTTGTGCTGTAGCTAATAGCAGGAGTCACTGCAGATGGTGGAGTACCGTATTATCAACACTTCTGCTCTCTCTCCACCCTCTCACTCTATTCAAGCTGGTAAGATTGGAACCACATTCATTAAATTTGATGACTTCCCATGAAGGGAGAACCTTTACGATGCAAGCAAAACCGGGGAAAGACAAATATTGTCAACTTGTTTGCCAAGATACTTGGGCTGAAAAAGCTGTCTGAAGTGAATTCTCCCAAAATATGTGTGTATTTACAGTATAGTGAGCTCACAGATTGGCAGCCAACGTGAAGTTTTTTGAACCCATAAAGACTTCAAGGCATTGCTTTGATTTTTTGTTATTGCTGTTTTTGCTGGCTGCCTTATCCTCATGTCCCTTGAAGTGTTTTATAATGTTCTGCTCTCTAGAACTGATCAACTGCAGGCATCCCTGTTGTAGCACTTGGCATCAGGTTCCATATAACTCTTATTGCTTGTTTGTGTTTTTCTAGGCTAGCCAAGCTTTTCGGAGTTGTTTCTTAGCTTCTTTCTCCTTCCAGAAATGCGCTTGTGGAGTGCACATCTGGGGTGGGTTAGTTGAAAAAAATCATTGATTGCTGTGTTAATGCTAGGAAAGAGTTAGTAGAAGGTAAGAATACCAGCCACTGGAAAAGTCAAGGCAGCAAAGAGGGCAGGAGGCCATCGTCCGTCTTCAGAGGAGCTGAAGGAATCGCAGGCTTCCACATAAATATTTAGATCTTCTAATCAGATCTTAGAGCGCACTGAGTGTTTCCTCTGGTGGGTACCATGGGGCAGACATCCAGAGGAGCTGTTTGTTCCTTTTTTTGCCTTTGGTTCTGTTTCCATATCCTGTTTGTTAATGACAGCTTGGGCAATAAGTCTGGCTTGCTTGTCCAGTGAAGCCGACTATGAACTGAGCAGTGTGAAGTCTTCTCTGCTTTTGGCATGAACCTGAATGCAACTTCAGAAAAAATTACTTCATCAGAGTTAGTCTGGTGGAGGTATTTCCAGCAGCAGCAAAGAAAATTGCAATTAATAGTGAAATCCATCCAGCCCAGAGGATGGCATTCATCTTCTTGTGTGCAGTCTTGGCTCTTTGCTTACTCGTTCAGGATTTTCTCATCTGGCCAGATTTTGGTAGCTTGTCTGGTGCGGTCTGTTTTGCTCACTGTCCATCCTTGCCCCTGAAGCTGACTTCCAGCAAGGCACTTCCATCCCAATGAGGGCCTTCTGTAGGACCTAGTGTTGGAGTGGTAATTCTGCCCAAATGTCCTCTCGTGCTGTCTGTTATGAAGGCCAGCTCTTCCTGAGCTCAACTCAAGAGCTCAGTTAGTGCTCTTTATACCTGGATTCCTTCTGAAGGAGCCTTCTCAGAATAGTGCTTTCAAATCTTATCTTTGCCTATGAATGCTGAAGGTCCCTTGCTCTAGCTGGATCATACCTCTTCCATATTGGCTGCAGAGTATCCATCTTCTTTGGCAGTTGCAGTCCACATTGAGCAGCTTTGTTCCCAGGTTATAAACACCAACCACTTAGTTTGCCCCTTTCACCATGACTGGAGTGTTTATTTCTGTTTCAGCGATGCTTTACAGTCTTGCTGGAGAAGCTTTTGATCCACTGGCTTTCCAGTTGAATTTTCCAAGAGCTAGTTTATGTGTTTGGGGTGTGTGTACTATGCAGTATTTCATGTTGGTAGCTTGGGTTTCTCCTTCCATGCGTGTGTTCCTTTGAAGTGCTTATTTTCTTTTAACATCAAACTAACAGCAGACCTGTGGCACTCTAATCTTTTCAGATCATGTTAACGGAAAGAATGCTTCTCACTGGCAGCTGCAAGTTCCCCTTAGACAGCAGTCTCTGCCTGGTCTGAAAGCATCGCTCTGTCAGCGAGCAGAGTAACTGCATGGTAGTGATGGATGTATTTCGCAAAGCTGTGTTCTATGGGTTTTTGAATGTGTATGTCTGGAGGTACCTGGTGAAGGAGGAAGTGTTGAGGTGTTATTTGGGGAGGGTCTGCCTGAAATCTTCCCTGTGCCCTAGAGATCAAGTTATCAAGATGTGCAGTAAAACAAAGCAGCAGTGCTCCTTTTGGGTATTGCAGATGGATTCACAGGGGAATGTTGTCCTAGTGTAGATATTTTTATCATGGAATGCGAGATGCAGTAGCCCCAGTACCACCCTGCAGCCAGGGTGCCCTGCATTCCTAAACCACACTCACCACTGTGGTGTCTGATCAACTGTGCCTGGCTGGGCTGAAGTAAAGCTCAGAGTTACTTGGCTACATGGTTTTAGAGCAAATGTGGCTTTATGAGAAGCAAGCTGGTCTCCAGGCTTCTGAAATGGAAAGCTCTCATTTAAACTTCTGCAACTGTAAGTAACACAGTGATGCTGTTTTGTTCAGACCTTTAAAACCTGAGCAGTTGGTTGGTTGGAATGGTACTCGTTGAATGGGGAGGACAGTAAGCAGGACACTGGCTTCCTCAACTTCTTGCCTCGTCAGTGACTTTCTGATCCCTTCAGAAGGAAGCTGTCCTGTGATTAAGGCCTTGGATAGGACTCTAGAGACTTACACACTTAGTTCTCATTTCTGCTACTTGCCATCCTGTGTGACCTTAAGTTGTTTAATGTCTCAGTTTCTCATCTGTACAAAAAAAACCTCAACTAACAAATAAAAAAACCAAACAACCAAACAAAAAACCTACCCCAAAACCCAACAAACCAAAATAAAATCCCAAACCCTCGTGCTTTCTTACATTTTTATGTATACTGCATGTTGCTGCTCATTACATGTATATAATTGCACAAAGAAACACCATTTTCACCTGGGTTTCTAGATGCTGTTGCAATCAAATTAATAATCAAACTGCATTTTGTAAATATGCCTTGCACAGTGTGGTTTGAACATTATAATTCAATAGATTAAGGTAATCTATTTTCCCAGTCAGAGTGGCATTGTATCTTTGGCTGGAAATCAGAAAAGAAGAGAAATGATGGGTATTTGAGTATAGTAACTAACTGTTGACTCATTCATACTGTAGTAACTCTTCACATACAACCGAATGGAGATTTTTGAATAGTTGTTTCAAACAGCCTATGATCTCTTGGTCAATCTGACAGGCTCAGGGTGACTCTAAGAGATTTCTATGTGTTTATGCACAGGTTTGGATAAGAATCCTGTGCAGGTTAAGAACTGCAGAGTTCTAGAGACATGGATGTATGCATTAGAAAAGTACAAATGAGGGAATACCAGCTCACTTGGGAATATAGTTTCCAGGTAATGGTCTGCCCAGTATTTGATCCTTGCATCCTTAGCAGTGTTAGAGAATACTAAAGGCTCCGGCTTTGGGTTTGTATATTTTCCTGGACTACAGCTAGCAAAGCCCTTCTCATCTTTATGCCAAAACATTCCTTGGCCAGTGGGGTCATTCCACTGGCTCAAATACTTTTTTGTTACAACCCCCTCAGACAGCGTTATGTCCTGTCAGGGCCTGGCTGAATCCCAGGGAGATCAGTGAGATGTAGCTACCTGCCTTCTGTGCTGCACCCTCAGGAAGTGCTGGAATGGGGATGGTACCGGAGAATCCTGCCCGAACGAAACTAGGTAAAGGGTCGGATGAATGAGCCAATCGTCTGTCTAAAGCGAAGAACTTATTGGATGTAGATTTGGCAAGAGGGGACTCTGTGCTGGCTGACCCCTAGGAAAGGATAGGGATGCAGGGAAATGAGCCATGGGAAGGATTCTGTATAGTTGGGAGCTGCTGTCAGGTTCCTTTAAGTTTCTTTCAATTAAAAGATTTTGAACTGAAACATCTGGACTGATGTGCTGCCAGCAGTGGAAAATGGTTGTGGACATGGATCCTGAAACTTAGAACTATGGTTATTTGTGAACCTGTGAGTAAATAGGGTAGAGGTTTATATTGGGGCACATTCTGTGTGTTTGTGTGGTTGAGTGTGTCTGTCTAGCTCTTGGTCTGTGTTTCTCACTCTTTTTCTCTTTGCGCCTTACGCAGGCCCTGCCATGAATTTTCTCTGACCCCTTGGGGCCATTCCTACATGAAGCTTTGATGTGTGTGCCCAGAGCTTGATTGACAAGGAAGTTTTGGTGGCGGCAGCAAGAGAAAAGGGCAGGGCTTTGAACTAAAGGGCTTTGAGCTCTGAGATGCTGTGCTTACTTATCTCCTTCAGAATGTTAATTATTTACCAAGATAATTGGTCAGGAGGGGAAAAAAAGAGAGGGGAGGTTATTAAAAAATTCCAACACTGACACACTACAAAACCCTCATTTTCCAACTTGCAGCTGGCATGAAAAGGATGTTGTGTGTAAAAGGCTTGAGTGTATGTGTGTGTGTGTGGGGGGAGCTTTTTAAGGCACCCATTTCCTAAATAGAGGGATCCCTTCAGACAAATGCAGCGGAAACATCAAAGCTCTTGCAAGAGTTTTCTCTGGGGTTTCTAAACCGTGTCTGGTACTTTTTAATTAAAAAAGTTTATGGCGAGCCGTCTCTGTGGCTGGAGCAGCACCCCCGGCCCTGCCGGCTGAGGAGGGAAATGGTAAAAGACCTAATAAATAATGATTTCTGCTAAGATGGCAGTTCAAGGATGTGGAGATGCCTGACTGCTGTAGCAGGAGCTGAGACTTGGAGTAGTCTCCTGCTTCAGTTTAATATGATGTAGGCTATGCTGTATGTGGAAGTCTACAGCCTTTGGTTAATGTCAGAGTTGTAATACCATGTACTCATTTGAAGGTTGTAGTCAGGAAGAGAGGTGACAATGTTTCATTTTGCCTCTGGTTAACACAGTTTTTTAGTCTAAGTATTAGGTATCAATCCACAGATGAATGCACAGAACCTTTGAGTTCTGGTAATAGCTGCGCTGGATCGGGTCCAAGGACCCTTATTCCAGTATCCTGACTGTGCTGATGTCTCTGGCAACAGAGGCTCAAGAAAACTCAAGAGCAGGCAGCCTGTCCTGCACAATTCCTACGTATGCATTAATGATATGAAGAGGGGCAGTTGCTTGCTTTTATCTATTTCTTTATTTTTTGGATCAAGGTGAGAAATACAGTGTTATTGTTTTTCTGTGTGTTGAACATAATTCAAATTTTGTACTGAATTATTCAGTATATATTTATGCAGAGGTAATTGAGTAAAGCTACTGAGCCATGATGTAAGGGACTGAGTGTGGAAAGCAATGAACGTGCAGTCCTGCAGTTATCTGGGTCACTCGATGAGCTCAGTGGATGAAAAAAATGTTTGAATATGGCAGAGTTATTCTGACAAGTAGGAACTTGGAATTCAGGCTGGATTTATAGAAGGGTAGACTGTAGCCTGGGAAGCTGTGAAAACTAGACAAATTCCAATTAGAGACAGGGTGTAAATGTAATCGTATCATCTAGAGTAGGTTTCTGAGGGCATAGCTTGATTTTCCTTCTCTTACTATCAGTCACTCAGGTCTTGAAAGATTCTTAATCATATTCACGTTGTCTGCTCAGCAGTGGAGAATGTGGGTGAAATATAATGGCCTGAGATATGGGGACAGAGGAGGACAAATGGCAGGTCATCAGTCCCATGAGCACATACTGTACACCTGTGTGTAGAAGAATAGATCATGTCTTATGATCTCTCCCTGAACACCTTGTGCTCTACACACGTTGAGCCTTTTCCAAATTATAGATGGCTCAGTGCCCTCAGCTTGAACTCTGAATTTGTCTGTAGCTGTCTAACCTGTCTCTAACGTTCACAGTGACCTGTGAAAGCATGTACAGTCAGTGACCTCTTCCCTTTTTGCTGCAGGCTAAACTCTTTCCAACTGCTGTCATTCATTTTGGATCTGAAGAGTGCAGGGGTGAGTAAATTTCCTCTCTTCTTCATCTGTATAGCTCCTGTAGTAGATCCAGGAGAATTACATCCTTATATGTAGAGTTCTTCTGGTAAAAGATAATGCAGTCCTTGCGAGTGCTGGTAAATGTTCCTGTTCGGAATGGCTTAAGCTCTCTGAACTAGCTTGGTCAGTTAGCTTTATTGTACATGTAAACACAGCACCTTTCCTATGAGATTTGTTAGGCTGTGGAGTGGACATTGTCTGCTATGGAGACAAGAATGTTAGAAGTCTGTAGAAGGAAATTCTGCTGTTCAAAATGTTAACTAGACAGGTGACACTGAAAGACTTTTACAGACTTCCTGTTGTAGTGGACTGGCTGTAGATGGGCGAATAGATTTGAATATTTGATTCTTTGATACCTCTGTGTTATGCTTAGAATCTTTTTCTCCCAGATTAAAGCTCTGGCTCCACAGAAAAGTTTGAGATGCAGTGAGCACTGAAAGAAAATGTCAAAATTTTGAGCTCTGAATGTGGAAATGGGAACCTCAACTTGTGAAAGAAACTGTCATAGTTTACAAGTGTCCTTTGTCAGTTGGGGGAAAGTGATGGAGATTTACTGTAGTATACAGCAGGTATTTTCTGAGCTGAGAGCTATGTGATTGTGTGGTGATTGAAGTGTCTCTGTCACCAAACAAGTGTTTGGGTTTCATTTTTAAACAGACTGTTACCTGAAGTCAGACATGCTGAGCTCTGCTGTTTCCCCTTCTGCAGCTGATGTATTAGTAGCCAGGTACGTTGTGACTGAATAGAGTTGTAAATGGGTATTTTTGGAATGGGAAGCATGAAATGAGCCCATCTTAATACAAAGAAGTGTGCTCTGAAGATACTAGGACTTCATTTTCTCCTGAAACAGTCATACTGGCATACTTGACTTCATGGCTTTGTGAGTCCGTCTTTGCAAAGTAGGATTTCAGTGACTACATCAAGTAAATCCTTTTATGATGAAAAAGAACCTTTTCAGTATGACTTCAAAAGTTTAAAGGTGGAGGTGGTACAAGGAGCTATTACAAAAAGATTAAGCTTAATTCTATTTGCTTGTTTTTTTTCCTCAGATGTTTGTCCAACTCATTAGTTTCTTCTGCTTCATCATCTTTACAATCAACAGTTCCATCCCTGTCTGAACCAGAAGTGGGAAGAGACAAAAAGACCAATGAGCAGCCAGAGCCAGCAAGCGCGCGTGAAGCTCCACCAGTGCTGAGGAGGGCCCCTGGGAAAATACCCAAATGGCTGAAGCTGCCAGGTATCATGAAATCAGAGGAGAGTTCTTCTCATTCTTCCTTTGCTGTTACAATCTGGTTTAGTACTTCTCTCTTTTTTTTTTTTGAGTTGGTCTTTCTGTTTTCAATCTTCCCTGCACAACAGTAGTGGTTTTACATAGTTAAGGTTGCAGCCAAATTTCCATTAAGAATTTTTATTGCAGAAGACTGCAACGTTGACTTTAGTCCCAGAACCAGTAACTTATATGTGGTTTTTATATGGCAATTTATACAAAATATGAAAGATTCCCGAATTAAACAATGGGCGGTATTCACTTTCTGGTGCAGTGGCAAAGGAGGTGGAAGGAAGACAGTCAATCCTGTTAATGTCAATAAAACTAGGAAGAACTATATGGAATTCCCTGGCTAGTAGTGCCAAATGTTAACTTCCTGAATAAGAATTTTAGAGTTTGATTCTGGAAGATACTGTGGGGCCATCAACTCCAGCAAGCACAGTGTGAGGTGTGAAATGGTTGCTGGAAGGCTGCAGACAGTAGGTTGGTGTCTTTCCCTGCTGTGGCTTGTCTGCTTTAGACTGGTACTGGGATACTGATGCAGATCATGTGGGAAACCGAATCCTTACCATTTCCTACTTTTGGTATACTTGAAGCATTCCACTTAAGAGTAGAACTTTCTTTCCTGAGTAAAGATTATCTGGATAAAGTACAAAATAACATCTCACCTGTGCAGGTTACCTATCAGTATCTGGTATGAAAGGTTAGTAACATGCTCCAACGTGCATGTTAATAACATGTAGAATGAAGTTCCCTGATTTGAACGTTATGATGCATTCACCATTCCATCTCCTGTAGAAGCACTCCTACATACTATCCAACTCTTGCCCAAGTACAGCAGTGTATAGAACCCTTAACAACCAGATAGCATCACAGACTGGTTTGAGTTGGAAGGGACCTTAAAGCTCACCCGATTCCAGCCCTCTGCCACAGGCAGGGACACCTTCCACTAGAGCAGGTTGTTCCAAGTCCCATCCAACCTGGCCTGATCATGTTATTGAGAAACAATACAGTGCAAATTACCCAGTTAAGTGTTCTAATACTCTTATGTTTGTTCTGTAGGTGGAAAGAGATGAAACATTCTGGGCTGCTGGATCAGTGTCAGCTCTGCCCCTTCCCTGAGGAAATTACTGAGAATGTGTAAGAAATTGTTGGTGACCCTGGAGAGGTCTACTCTGTATGAACATTAGTAATAAATAGAAAATTGCTATTTCAGGTGGCAGTTGCACCACTTGGAGGAGTGGAAGGCCTGTTTGTAGTCTTCATTGCCACAGAAGCAAGGTTAAAGGTTTAAGGCTTCTTTTGCATGCAAATAATATGAACAGAGAATTAAGAGGGAAATAATTCCTATATACTTTCTGTGAAGGACTTTGTTTCTATGCGTATTTTTAAATCTTCCCAGTTCTACCTTCAGAGATAACTCGAGTCAAGCTGCCTGAACTCTAGCAGCAAGATACAATCCCATTCGGTTTTACCTATAGTTAAGTGCTGTCTAGAATAAGACCTCTCTGCTTCTTGCTGGTTGGTGTTAGTGCTGCTGATAATTCTGGGTATAGATGGCTGGAAAGTGAGCAAAGAGGAAGTACTTGGGTGACTTCCAACAGTTCAGATAGGCTTTTCGTGTGAACCTCTTCTTCTGCTGCACTCCTATTGTTTTCAGTTGCCAGAATCTTGTTGACAAAGAACACAGGTATCTGTTAATGGAATAAAAAGTGACGGGGAAAAAAGCATCCAGTAAAAGGGTCTCTTCATGTGACACTCCATCTGTGGACTTCCATGGTCCGAGTGTTTCTCAGCAGAGTTTCTGTTCTCTGCAGTGCTATTCAGGTACAGCAGGAAGCACTAGTCCAGATCTTTGCCTCCTGCAGATGTTGTGTGGTGCTTAATACTGTTGGTTAGAATTGCACTTACACTGGAGGTGAACTGTGTAGTGCCACAGTAGCCAGGGTGCTGTATTTTATTTGAAGTCATCTCCATGGATCAATGATTCATACTGGGAGGCTGGGGTTCCATGTTACGGTAATATGTTTTCCATTTTCCCTGCCATAGACAATTGTTCCCTGAACTGTGTGTGCATCTGCACAATTTGTAAATGTAATAAAGCAGAGTGGCCATAGGAGGCCTTTCTGTCGGTCTCTTTGATAATATGTTTCTTCCCCCAGTACTTGGTTCCTCTGTCAGTTCACAGGAACCTGCTCCGTTTTCAATGGGCCTGTCATGCCTCATTCCCTTCCTCCCCCCTTTTTTTTCCCAACAAAGCAAACTGGAGCTTTGTACCATCTGAATGAACTTCAAAGTGGCTAGAAAGGGCACCCAGGGTTCCTGGCACTTGTCATTGTCTCCCAGCTTGGCCAACATTTCCCTTCAGGTCTAATTACTTCCAAATGCTCCCAGATGCTTTGAAGAAACTCAGAGGGAGGGGGAGGCATGAAAGAAAGGTGGAAGATGAAGAAGGAGGCTCAAAGGGGAGGGAGCAAAATGCTTTAGCAAAAAATGTTAATTGATGTCTTCTATGACACCCAAACATAAACAGGGAATGCGTGCGGCCGCTGGCAGCAGTTAATGCAAGAGCACCGTGTACAGCTGCTACTCTGAATCCTTCCTGTGGAAAGGAAGACCTTCTGGTGCTCGACAGGCTATAAAAGACATACTGCAGCAGACCAAAAATACTGAAATAGTGCTTAAGGTTTATTACTTTAGTGAATTAAGTGTGGGCTGAGCCTACACTTAGGACTGTCTGTTCAGGTGTTTAGTCAGGCTGAAGATAGACTGTAGCTAGAGCTGCTTTGCTGAATTTATGCAGGATATATCAGGGGGCAGCTAACAGCCATAGCTAAAGATAGGTGGAGATACTTGTGCTGGTGGTTTAGATTGATGGGGTTAGAATAAACAGAAGTCTGGTTGGTAGGAAGTTGTATTGTGCTTTCTGATGAACTAGGCTTATTTTTGAAGAGCAAAGACATCAGGTAGTACATCAGGTAGCTGCTGATTTGATGTTGCTATTCTGATCCCACCAGTTTTGACAGAGGGAGCACCATAACTATCACCTGTAAGTACCTGATATGGGAGGACAGAGGAAAAGTTTAGGGACACAAGCAACAATATCATTATTACTGAGTCAGTTTCATAGGTGAAGTACAGGGGTGAGGATTAGGAGACTTCGTATCGCTAACCACGTGCAATACCTCAGTCAGTTCTGCCCATACTTATCCCTGTGTAACTCAGCCATGCATCAAATGGAATTTAATCTATTTCTCTTTCAGGAGGATGAAAAATTGGTACCTTCAACAGCTAGACCAGAAGTCTTACTTTCCTCTTTTCCTAGAGTTAGTTTTATCTGCTGCTTTTAAAATACTGCTTTACTATTAACATTACCATCAGCAATCCTCCTCAGTCAAGAATGCTATACATGGACTAGGTATGTAATTCAAGCCTATTTAGGGCAGCAGCTTTTAGAGACCTCCATGTTAGCAGGAGTCAGAACAGGGGGAAAGATTCGAGATCTGGAAGAGGCAAGAAGGTATGAGTTAATTCTATATGGGGGACAAGATGCCCAGATATTTAAAACTCCAGGCTTTTCACCAAGGTAGCTGCTATAAGGATTCCTACCCTGCCACAGAATAATACATGCAGATACCCGATGTGCTGGATTTGCTTCAGTACCACTTCACCGTAGCTGAACTAATCCCTGGCGTTTTGGGGCATTCAGAGGTAGCACTACTTGCATTTTTTGCTATTGCTTTTTTTTTTTCACCATATGGCTGTGGGGCTGAAGGCTGAACTAGGTCAGTTCCTTCATTGGTTTCATTGTACAGCTGCACAAACAGTTGTCTTGGCAAAGAAGCTGCAGCGCTGAGGGATGGGGCACTGCTGAAGCTGGTACTGTCATCAGAAAGAACATGCAAGTGTATTAAATCGTGGGTTTAGTTGAAGTCTCCCAGTGTCTAATGTCCTGAGCAATAACCTTGATAGCTCTTGGCTGAAAGAGTCCAGTGACCTACAGAGCCTCTCCTGGCTCCAGCTGTCAGTGCATGAAGCGCTGGGTGTTGCTAATCGCAGAGCAAGCTGCCAGCACTGTGCACCCTTCAGGCACACTGGTGTCAGCTGCCTTTCCTGCAGCCGGCTGCGGATTTCCCAACAAAGGCAGTTCAGTTCCATGGGTCCTGCCTCCATGTGTAAGGTTTCTTATTTCCCAGCTCCCCCCCCGCTGCCCGCGGGGCCAGGCTGGCCCATGATGTGGGATTCTCACACATGCTGTTTGTTATTCTGTCCTTTTTCCTTTCGTCCTACAAAGATTTGGAGAAGAGGGTGGGTGAGGGGGAAACTTTGCAAGCCTTTGAAGCAATTTGACTTTCGATGATTAATTGCAGCAAAGAAGCCTACACGAGGGAGGGGGACTCAGTTTTAATTTATTGATGTTTCTTTGTGAGAACAAATTTATAGCAGAGAGGAAGCAGCTTGAGGAGAATATCAAATGGTTAAAAGGTTCCAAGCGTTCTTTGATGTCACAGCCCTGCAGAAATACTGGAAAGTAGTGAGGGACAGACACTGTTTATTTATAAAATGAAGATCAGTTACCTGCTTTTGGCAAGAGCCTGGGCCTGAGCTCCTGTTAATGACCTATTCATTAGACAGGCTTGGAGCTGGACCTAAAGTTTCTGCCACAGCTGCCTGCTGAGGCGATGAGAGCCTGGTTTGGTTGACATTTCCAGCCATTAAGTCTTTCCATGCATCTCTCTGATGCAGCACCTGTATCTCACATTAGCTGAGAAAGCAACAGCATCTTCTTGTGCTGTGCAGAGCAGGCTCCTGCTAAAGGCTCAAGATGGAAGCCAGTGCCTCAGCCGACCAAACCAACCGTGCGGCAGCCTCCTTTCAAACCCAGCATCTGACGGCACAGTTGCCTAGGGCTTTGTTGGTAAAGAAGAGAGGAAACAGAAGCAAAATAGCAGGGAAAGAAAAAGTTGAGACTCTTCTTCCTAGAGCTGGACTCCAGAGATGAACCAGACATGCAGTCAGACCAAGATCTTCTGCTGGCAGGACAGATGCTTCAGGGACCTCTAGAAATCCAGAAGCTGTAAGGAGAGAGCAGCAAACCTGCCTGCAGCGCTGCTGGCTCCCCAGAACACCGCCCATAGCACAGCGCTGAGCTGCGTCCTTCTGCCGGTACGTACCAGCTGCGGCAGCACCTTCTCCACGTGCTCCACATCCACCTTCTCCAGGTCCTCGGCCTGCGCCTGCCGCGCAGCTCGCGCCGCCGCTTCTGCCGGAGGAAGGGAGAAAGGAGAGCGCCGAGGGCTCGGGGCGTGCGGGACTGGGACAGCTCCGCCGGAGCTCGGCGGGAGGGGGTTCCGCCACGCGAGCTGGTCACGGGCCCCCATCACGGTTCAGGCTGACCGTGGGCCCGGTACCGGCAGCTCACCTCGGACAAAGACGTTCAGCATCTCCGCCATCAGCAGCTGCGCGTCGCCGTTAACTGCGAAGACAAAGCGGAGCGTGGGGGCCCACCCACCACCGCCTGCCGCGGCCCCGGTACTGCCCGCAGCCACCCCGGTACCTCGCGTCCTCCCGTCCCGGAAGTGGAGGCGGAGCAGCCGGTCCACGGTCTCCTGCACGGAGAGGAGAGAGGGTAAGCGGGGATGGGGGAAGGAAGCCCCCGGTACCGACAGCCCGCGCCCGCCACACCTTCCGGAACCCGCCAGCGTTCACCGCCCGCTCCATGGCCCCGGCGGCCCCGCCCCCGGAAGCGCCTCTCGCCTGCGGGCGGGGCTGGGCCGCGGCCATGGAGGAGTTCCGCCGGGCCTACGCGCGCCTGTGCGCGGCGCCGCAGGAGCCCGTGCTGCGGCGGCTGCGGGAGCGCGGCGCGGCGCCGGGTCGCGGCCGCCTGGACTTGGCGGCCCAGAGCCTGTCGCTGGAGACGTGCGGCGCCCTGGGCCGGCTGCTGCCCGGCGCCGCGCCCTTCACCGAGGTGGCGCTGGGCGACTGCGGCCTCAGCGGGGAAGGTGGGGGGGGGCCCGCCGGGGGGTTCCCTGGGCCGGAGCCGGCCTCGGCCCGGCCGCGCAGCGAGCGGCTGTTGACGGCGGGGCCGCGGGTCCCTTCACGCTGGGCGAGGCGGAGCGGCGCCGGGGGGTGCCCGTCCCTGCGCCCGGCCGGGTCCTTGTGGCGGCGGCGGTGCCGCGGCGGGTCTGGAGCTGGCAGCGGGGCGCGGGGGAGGGAGCGGCTCGCGCTCGTACCGGACGGGCTCGGCTGGCGGGGGGCCGTGCGGCGGGCGGGCTGCTCCCCCCGTCCAGCTGCCATTGCTGGCTCTGATCGCTGGGTCGTTAAAGCTGGTAAGCGTTGGATGGGATCCTGCAGGAGGCGGAATGCGTCCCTGCTGGGACCAGCACGGGTTCGGTGAGCCAGCGACTGTCTTGTCTGAACGGCCCGTCTGGACGTGGGCTACGTTCAGAGCTGCGGTGGGGGATGCGCAGCGGGACCGGCAGCTCTTCACTTGGTCATTTCTTTTTTTGAGAATACACAAAAAACCTGCCCTGGAAGTTCAGACTCGCGCTTTCCTGCAGCAGTGGCCGTTCACCAGGCCCGTGTTGAATCAGAGCTGTGGCTCCTGAGCCGGCTGTTAGGAAGGATGGATGGTTCCCCTTCGGCTTAGGCGGAGGGTTGTGCCTCTGAAATAAATGTTGTATTTTTCTACTCAGGTGTAACGCTTCTGTTGCATGGTCTTTGCTCCAACACCACGGTCAAACTGTTGGATTTGAAGGTGAGTTTGTTCAAATAAAATTAAGATCAAAAGGTGGGGAAGGAAACAGGAGTATAAGCTTAATCAGAATTAGAAATAGACAGTCCTGGTGCAGGGTTGTTCTACAAGATACATATTTCCATAAAGTCCTTGTTCTCAAGTGACTCAGTCCTTGCCTTCTTAACGCAATGCCACAACTCTCCCAAGTTACTTTGTAGCTCATCTTTGTCTATTTTTATTCAGTTTTGATAGGAAGTTACTGCTGTGTATCTCTTGTGGGTTGCTGCTTGATCAGATGAGGCATATGTAGGCTTTTCTTTGGGCTGCTGTATTAATCAGTGAGTTACTAGTTGTTTGACTTGTGCCTCTGCAGAGTTTATCCAATTTGTGCGTGTCTTTCAGCTGGCCTGGGCTTGGAACTTCAGATGTGATTATCACTCTCCTGTGAGACTTTCTGTCTGTAGTCCTTTGGCACAGCTATTCCCTTGAATCCACAATCCTAGACTACATCATACCTTTCTTCTCCCCTGTGCTGGTGCCAGTTGAGCCCTTTTGAATGAAGTATGTTAAAATGTTTTGCTTATCTCAAACCAGCGTTTCCTGCCCCACTGGTCCTGTGTGATCCCAGCAGTGCGTGTGTCCTCCACTTCTCCCAGGGTCTTTCCTCTTCTGGAAAGCTGACTGATGTGTGAGACAAATGTTACTCAGACCATCCTTGACAGACTGACATCCCCATTACAGCGTGTGTGTCTGGTGGTGTTTATGGGGTAGCTGGGTCATAGCCTGCTGATCACCTGGGGCTTCTGTTTCAGGGAAATAACCTGCGAAGCATGGGAGCCGAGGCTTTGGGAAAACTTCTTAGGCAGAACAAATCCCTCAGGAGGTAAAAACCTGTGTCTACCTCTCTTTCAGTCCTGCTAGATGGCACACAGCATAAGAAAAGGGATGGGAGTGCGTTTGGTTGAGCTAGGAGGAATGTCAAGTGCAGTTTCTTATGGGGGATGGGACAGGTGAAGGAGTGAGAACTGGAGGAACCCTTCTGGAGGATGCAGGATCCTAGCAGCATCCTGCTTTCTGAAACTTGAGTCTGTGAGCAGAGATGGATGTTTGAATGAGTAGCTTGTTTCTGGTATAATTCAAGCTCTTGCAACTCTCCTTTTATTTCATGAACTCCAATCCTGCCTGATTTTTCCTAGCCTAATTTTGGAGTGGAACAGCCTTGGCATGGGGGAGGAGGGCTTCTCGTCTTTCTGCCAGGGACTGGGAGCAAACAGCTTTCTCCAGTGGCTGGATCTGCGCAGTAACCAGATCAACCATCAAGGTGCTGGAGAACTGGCCATGGCACTGAAACAAAACACCAGCCTTCAGGAGCTGGGTAAGAGCGATGGTTCTGTGTTTGCCTTTATATATACAAATGCACACACATATATTTTCAGGTTTGTTGCAGCCTGCCCTGATCTGTGCCAGCTGGTTAAGAGTCATTCCTAATCTGCATCAGTCTGGAGTGCTTTGCAGGCTTTGTGCAGGGAGTAGAGCTCATGGTGCCATGGCCTTTGGAGAGTGGGAGCTGTAACTGGAATCTCTGGAACCAAATCTGGAGATGAAGAATTGTGTGCTTGGAGCAGAATAGTCCTTAGTGAAGGGGGGATTGGGTGCCTTCCCATTTGTGGATGCTGATGGCATGCTCATGTCAGACTCTGAGACTTGCTTCACACTTGCTTTGCCCTAAGTAAGGAATTTTGCCAGAATTTCCTTCAGGAACTTGTGGCTATTAGTGCCAGTTCTTCCTCATCCACAGATTCTGGTTGTGAAAGGAAGGCTCATGAGATGAAAATGTGAGAGGCACATTTGTATCCCTCTTGAATCGTAACGGTTTCTTGCACTTCACTGCACTGAAGGTTCATTCTTGCCTTGCCTGCTTTGGCTGTCATTTTCCCTTCCTCTTGTTTGTCTTGAGAAGCAAGACAGTGTTCACCTGTGTTTGTGCTGGGACCATCTGGGATTATTGGCCGTGCTTGTAGATGTGTAAGGAGCATGGTTTCTCTTGAGGCCTGTGTTTTTCAGCAGATTTGTGTCTACTGGGCTGAAAATTTACTTTCTGTATAGATTTGCGTTGGAATAATATTGGGCTTCTGGGTGGCCGAGCTTTGCTGAACTGCCTGCACAGCAATAAGACCCTGAAGAGGTTGGAACTGGCTGGGAACAACGTTCCTAGTGATATCCTAAAAGCTGTGGGTAAGTATTACTTGTTGCACTGGAAAAAAATTAGTAAGTCCTTTCCCATTTCTACACTTGAGGGATATAGAGCAGTTGCTGCTAAAGAAGAGAGCTATCCTGACTCCCCTCCCTTTCTCAATAGCACTTACACAGTGCCCTACATCGCTTGCTCGTGTCCTCTGGGGAGGGCTGGCCAAGATGGAGGTGTCACTTACCAGCCAGAGGAAAAAAAATGAATTATGGTTGAATTGATGATTATTGTTGTGTGTGAACACGGGAGAACTTGAGACTCTCTTCACCTCTGAGTAGCCAAGTTTTGATGTAGCCAGCACAGCACATCCTTTGTCATCACTGGATTTGAATGGCTTCCTGTGGCTGGGCTGTTAATTACCCCATATACGTTGCTGTCTTTGATGCCACCCCAACCTGTGGGCCAGCATGAGAAGTGCTACTATCCTGGTGCTTCTCATAGCCAGGGGGGTCACTTGAGTGCTGTCTCTGCCAGCAGTGCTTGCTATGCTGTTGCTTTGGAAACATGTGCATGATCTGCTCTCTCTGCATCAGAACAAGCCATGAATCACAACCAAGACCGTCAGACTATCCTGAGTGAGACACAGAACCGAGCATCCGTACTCAGCAAGGAGGTTTTGAGTCTGAAGGATGAGAAGACCAAGCAGGTCAGCAGTCTTACATGTTGGCAGTTCCAATGGGGCAGCTAGAATCCTATGCTTTCCCTTAGTGTCTTTATGAAACACTCAGTGACAGGATTATTGTGCATCTGAAGTTGTATGTGCATCTTTATGGGCAAGCACACAGCATGGTTTAGCAAATTGGGTCCTTTTTCTGAGCTAGGATACCCAGGGATCAGATCCAGGGCAGTATGGGTGTGGACACATGCCCTTCTGAACATATTCATTCTGGATTCTGGAGGAGTTTTGATGTTCTTTTCACTCATACTTACGCTTTTGATGGTTCTTTTGCAACTGGTTTGATATATTCCAAGTGGCAAAACCCTAGAAATATGAGTCTCTTCCTTCTGACACCCAGTGGTGCAGAGTCCCTACGCTTGGTGACCTCAGTCTGATGTGTTAATGAACCCATCAAACCTCCAGTTTGCTTGCTTTCAGTAGAGTGACTTGACCTGTCTTCAGCTGTCACTAGGACGAGAAAGATGAGAAGTGGAAATGAAACTGATGCAGTTCCATTTCCTCGCTGATGTTTGCCTTGTTCACAGTTCTTGGATTTGATGGACACTATAGATAAGCAGAGAGAAGAAATAGCCAGAAGTGACAGGTGAGTTGCATTTTTGAATGCTTTCTCCTCTTTGATACCAGAATTGGGCCCTCTCCATTTCCTGGCAGAAATCACCAACCTTTTTTCTTTTCCTTTTCTTTGCCTTCCCCCCCACATGCAGGATGTCTGCAGCACGAGTCAGCCAGCTGCAGGAAGCATTGAATGAGCAGCACTCTATTATGAATTCACTGAAAGCCAAGTATGGAGTAGGAGAACCTTTGCCTTCCCACTGTTCTGTGCTGTCTGGGCCATCCTGGGCAGAGCTGCTAAGAAGGGGGATAATCTTTCAGAGTGGCTGGCTTACAGTGTCACTTAGTTCTGCAGGAGTATCCAGAAATTACCCAGACCATTGTGTTTGCCATGCTAGATATTTAGCCTGCTTTTAAGTAAAATTACAGTGCATTTGTGTAAGAGCAAGTGAATTACAGAGGGTAAAAAGAAGAAAAGGATTGTGTGGTTGGGATGGGGGCATGTTGCTTGCACAGTTTACAGCGTGGCAAGAGCCTGTACCTGTTTCCCTGGCATTTGGTAGTGTTCTCTGAGAACTGCTGCA